AAAAAAAATAAAAATAAAAATAAAAATAATAAAAATAAAAATAAAAATAAAAATAAAAATAAAAATAAAAATAATAAAAATAAAAATAAAAATAAAAATAAAAATAAAAATAATAAAAATAAAAATTGGAATGAACCTTGGAGGTCATCTAGTTCAACTCACTGCTCAGGCAGGAAACCTTATACCATTTCAGACAGATGGCTGTCCAGTCTCTTCTTAAAAACTTCCAGTATTATTATTTTTTGTTGTTTGTATCTAATAACAATAACAACAGAGTTCCATCTTGGTGCCAGCCTCCCACCAAGAAGATTAAAGCTGGATGAAAATTTTCTGACAGAGAAATGGTGTTTTTTACCAGAAAAATGTATTCTTTTTTGAATAACCTTTTGGTTTGCAATGGGGAAGATCAAAAGCAGATTCAGCCACATGCTTCCATGCCCATTTCTACTCTGGCTGTCAGAAAGAACGAAAACCTTTCTGGCAATCAGTTTCTTTTCTTTTTCAAGTACAAATAATGACTCATGCAAGCTAATCTGTGAGAGTGCTATCCCTGCCATCTCCCACCCCGTTTTCCAACCTTTTTTTCCTAACATGTGATGTTCCTTCACCCTTTTTTTTTACTCCAATCTTCCCTTATCAAAACCAAGAAATCAGTTCCACAAAAAGTTTAAACAATATATTTGTTATTAATATAGCTTTAGTAATAGAATTCTGCAAGCCTGACAATGCTTTATTCCCAAAATCCTCAGTAGCCACTCATGTGAATTAGGGCAGTGTCTGTGTCTGAGTCTTTTGTGTATACCCTCTTCCTCTTTTGGACTTAAATCATGTCTTTCCCATCACTGCCTTGCCAAAGGATCTGGCCTATTCCTGCAAGTCCTTTCCTTACTCTCTGCAACAGACTAACTGCATAAATTTTATACATGTAGGACTGTAAATGCATATATTATGACAATAGAATTACCACATAGTGAAGACCAGCAACAAGCAACATGGCTTTGAAAGTACAATCATTACCAATAGGTTATAAGTATTAATTTAATTTTATTAATATTCATTCACATATCTTATAAAACAGTGTTGAATCCCATTTCCTTTAGAGTTTTAAAACTGAGGATATAGCATAGCATAGCATAGCATAGCATAGCATAGCATAGCATAGCATAGCATAGCATAGCATAGCATAGCATAGCATAGCATAGCATAGCATAGCATAGCACAGCATAGCATAGAATAATAGAATAGAACAGAATAGAATAGAATAGAACAGAACAGCATAGAACAGAACAGAACAGAACAGAATAGAATAGAATAGAATAGAATAGAATAGCATAAATAGAATAATAGCATAGCATAGCATAGCATAGCATAGCATAGCATAGCATAGCATAGCATAGCATAGCTAGAATAGAATAGAATAGAATAGAATAGAATAGAATAGAATAGAATAGAATAGAATAGAATAGAATAGAAATATTTTTATCCCACCTTTATTAATTTTATAATAGGTGACAAACATACTTAATTCTCCTTCCTCAACCTATTTTCCCCACAACAGCTACTCTGTGAGGTGGGTTGGGCTGAGAGAGATTGACAGTCCCAAAGTCACCCAGTCCACTTTCGCACCTAAAGTGGGACTAGAACTCACAGACATCTGGTACCTTAACTTCTAGGCCAAACTGGATATCTAGCTCCCATTACATTTTTAATTAGCTGTATAGTAATAGGAAAGTTGTTAGACAAAAATAAATGCCAGAAAGTTTCAAAATAATTCATTACCCTGATAAACCTGAGCAAAACAACTCTTCAAGCAACACATTTTACATTACATCGCATCATTATTATTAGGTTAACAAAGTATTGGTTAACCAGTTATTTAGGATTATTAAGATGAACTAAGATATAAGAACATGGACTCACCATTGAAGTTAACACTGCGTATATATCTCAGTAGCTTCTTGCCCCCTGCATGTTCCATCTCTGGGCAGATCCCAGAATAATCACTGCACAGATCCTTGTTCATCTGATGGAGGGCATGAGCCAAGGCATAAACAGCATCGATCACAAACTGCACTCGACCCTCCTGTTCATAGTGAGAGTCTTTTCCGATCCTTTCCTGCCCTACATATTTAAGGATATAGACACAGAGACAGGGGAGATTTTGATAAACATCAGATAAAAGCATTAAGTCTATATCAAAAATCATGGGTGAGAATGAGAAAAAATAGTAATTATTTGAAAAGGACAGTCTTAAAAAAATCTAACATGAAATTCATAATAGGACTTAGATCACTTCAGGAAATTCTGAAAAAATGATTTTGAAGTCAAATAAGCAGTAGTTTAGAAAAAAAAATATGATCTCTCTCTCTCTCTCTCTCTCTCTCTCTCTCTCTCTCTCTCTCTCTCTCTCTCTCTCTCTCTCTCTCTCATTCTCTCTCTCTCATCTGCCTGTCTGTCTATCATCTAGTACAAAGCCTTATCAGCAAGTTGGGCAGCATATAAATTTAAATAAATAAATAAATAAATAAATAAATAAATAAATAAATAAATAAATAAATAAATAAATAAATAAATAAATAAATAAATAAATAAATAAATAATAAACAAAGGAATCTATCTGCCCCAGCGCTATCAGTAACCTGGAGTTAGTTATGAAGAGCTTATGAAAAGTTTGGTCTGATATTCAAAAACTAAATTTAGTTTTTTCTAATCTAAAGGTAAAAAAAACATATTAATACCCAAACCGATAATTCTTTGTGGGATCATTGTTAAACACATAATACAAAATAAAATAAAGTCAAATGTATATTAGTTTTACTTTAATTAAATATTTAAATTTAAGATCTTTAATGTTTTATTTTTATTTAATTTTGTTAATGTTTTACTGTTTTATACTGTATTTTATTCAATGTCTGCAAGCTGCCTAGAGTTGCCTTTGGCATGATAGGTGGCATGCAAGAAAAGAAAAAAAAAAAGAAAGAAAGAAAGAGAGAGAGAGAGAGAGAGAGAGAGAGAGAGAGAGAGAGAAAGAAAGAAAGAAAGAAACCTAATCATAACAGAAAAAAATTGTCTGAAAAGAGTTTTTTTTTTATTCATTCATTTAGCAAAGTACACATTTTTCCAAAGTTTTAGATTTGGAATACTCTTCAGTCAAAGACTATCTGAAGTTCTTGACAAAATGCAAAATTATTTCTGTGTGTATGTGTTTACTTTCTTAATCCAGAAGAAATAAAATAGCTGTGGGTATACAAAATGCCAGTGAAATGTTCATTTGCAAGGCAGTCCATATTTCTTCATTCTTTGCAGAGGAAATTGTAAGAATCATTTCTTGGATACCACAAGTGCTGGTTCTAAAACCAATTATAATAAAAAACAAAAATGGAGAAAACACTGTAATATTTCCATGTTCACAGATTCTTCTTTTAAATGGCTTTTCTCCTCTGCTTTGGTAGGCAATTCACATTGAACTTCCTTTTTTTCCCCCTTACGCTGCACTCCTAAATAGAGAATCTCATGAGGAAAACCAACACCATTTGTTACGGTGAAATAATTTGCAGAAGATCAGAATCAGGATCCCTCTGTGGCCAGAAATATTCACCTCATCAACTTTTCTTTAGGAAAATCACTCATTCTCCATTCATCTGTAAAATATGCAATCCATCATTGTGGACAATGAGCTAAAGATCGTACATGTTCTCCAAAAGCATTGCTGCATGGTTAATAATTAAATCACATTCTAACATAGAATAATAAACTTGGGGGGGGGGAAAGAAAGGCTATTATGCTCTTAAACTATTTTAGATAGATAGATAGATAATTTAATTTGTATACCGCCCTTCTCCCATAGGACTCAGGGCGGTTCACAGCATATTAAAAACAAATAGTATACACAAAATACAAAAAATACAAAATACAAAAATACAGAAATACAAAAAATAAACCCCGATAAAAGCCGAATTAAAACCAAATATTACCAGCTGTGTTTCCGATTAAAATA